TTGGCTGCAGAAAAATGGAAAGTGTGACTTTCATTTCCAACAATGCTGAGCAACAACGGATTTCTGTGTTTCTTTTTTCCTAACATATGCCTCAAGTTCTTTAACTTGAAATTTTAAGGATTTAATTTAATAGGAATTTTACTGATAGGAGAGAAAACAACCTGAAAGTTAAATTTCTGCAAAATACATGTAATTTAGTTCCATGCTTAAGGACTCCATTCCAGATATGAGTTCCTGGGATATTTACAGGATTCCTTGCCAATGTGGTTTAATTTACATTGGTCAAACAAAAAGAGCCTTAAAATTCCATGTTAAAGAATATGAGGCATGTTAGGAAAAAGGAAGATCCAGAAATCTGCTATTGCTCAGCATTGTTGGAATGAAAATCCCAATTTCCATTTTTCTGCAGCCAAAATTATTCAGAAAGCATCTTCCATTAGTGAATTAGATTTTTTAGAAGTGTTTGACATCCAAAAAAAATATTCGCTAATCTTTGGAATATGGTAACAGATAGTTTGGAGACATTTTGTTAAGGCGATAAAGGTTACTAGGTAGAACTTTAGCAATAATCTGAGAAGTACACAGTTCGAATCACAGATTATTTTGTCTCAGAGAAATGAGAGATCATGAGACATGTCATGTGACATTTTCGGAAAATTCCGATCATGATTTTAGCTAATAAGCACTTAGAAACAATTTCGCTGCTAAAGTGCAGAATCACACTTATTTGCTTGGCGCATTTTACAAGAGTAAGAAGAATTGGATTTCTGTCAATTTTCTTTGACTTTTTAAGTGAAAATAAGTCGATGTATACATGGATAAAGTCAAGCGTGTGCACAATGCCATTTTTGTGCAATTCTGGGATTTTTTTAAGTGAAAATAGGTCAACGTGTACATGGATACCACATATGTGCAATTCTTAAAAACGCGAAAAGCAGTGGGCAATTCTGCACTTTCTCCCAATTTCGCACCTAATTTTCGTCATGATTAAGCACTTTCGTTCCATAAAAGTTTTAGCATAAGCGTAATTCGGCCAGCAGATTGTTGGAAAAAATGTTGAGTAAAAAAAAAATGCCTTTACTTTGTGAAAACAAAATGGCATCAAAAAAAAAAAAAAAAAAAACTAGCAGGTTGCTGTAGCAGGGTTGGTCGCCAAATTTTTGCCAAAAAATCACCAAGTTACCATAATCCGAAGATTCATCAAAACATTTCTGTTTTAGTTAATGACCCCAATTGCAATCCATATTTACCTTCAGCCTTTAAAGAAATTTTGTTTTAGTTTTTCTTGCTTCATCAATAGATGGCACCAGTAGCTTCACTTCTGTCCAACTTATCTTATCTCTATCTTTATCTTACATTGTTTCACAGTTTATTTGGTTCATTTGCATTTAGCACCTGAAGAAGGTAGTTAAAAAACTATCGAAACTAGTACCAAATTTTTTTTTTTTCAAATTTACGCCGATTTTCAATGTTGGACATTATTTTTGATTGTTATTCAGTGTGATATTTAAACTGAATCCTTTTAAATATTATTTACCAGTTCAATTCACATACCTCATTAAAAATTATTCACCAGCACAATTTAAGTGATTTGAGTAAAATAGTAAACCTACTAATGGCAATTCATGGTTTGTTTAGAGTAGACTTTAAGGTACCCCTTATATTATGGCGAAGTTGTTGTTTCATTTATCGCCAAGTTGTTGTTTCATTTATGGTAGATTGAGTAGTTGAATGTTATGGAAACCCTATTATGACGTAATCGGGCACATGATTCTGGAAAATTTTGAATCAGCGGATGTTTTGTAAGCGCTTTTGTGGTGTGTGTTAGTTTTATATTGTAGACGGTAGAATGGCTGAATGTAGTAACATTAATTTGAAGTTTCTGTACGATTTGGAACGAAAGGGGAAAAGAGCGTTCATTGACTGGTCTGTAAATCAAAGTTTACTTAGTAGCCATTATAAGTATCTTGTATGTAAGAAGGATATGCGTCTAGTCGAACGTAAAAACCGTTTAGATGGATTTGAATGGGTTTGTATGAAGAAAGGTTCAGATGTGGCGACGCCGATATATGGATTCAAGTTCAAATAATTTTGGGAAGTTTTTGGATGCTGTTAAGGAATTTTGTTTGCCACAGACTAAAGACGAAGGAACTCTTAAACAGTGTAAGTGGATATTGGCTTTTTGTAGTGCTTAAATGTATAACATGTTTTTCCTTTTTTTATGTTACTTTATTGTTCGGTTTAAAATGTAGTTTATTGAGATTACGTATTTTTTGTTTGCCTGTATTGTAAAATTGGGTGCTCCTTTGACTTTTTAAGTGAAAATATATCAATGTGTACATGAACAAAGTGAAAGGAGTGTGAAATGCAAGTTTGTGCAACTCTTGGATTTTAAGTTAAAATAGGTCGACGTGTATATGGATAAAGTCACAGGAGTGCGTAATGCCATTTTTGTGCAATTCAGAGGTTTTTTTTTAAGTGAAAATAGGTCGATGTGTACATGGATACCGAGTTTGTGCAATTCTTTGTCTTGTTATTTTGGCTTACTAAAATCGCCATTACGCAATCCAAAATAATAAGTCAAATAATTGCACAAACTTGGTATCCATGTATCGCCAAGGGGTAACCTAAAATATACTTTTACCCATGGTTTCTATTTAGCGGTTTCTATTTCTAAATGAAAAACAAATTCTGTCGTACAACTGGGAACATGGAAATTAATGGAAGTAAAAAAAGGCAAGCTCTTGTCTCTTGACAACAGCTGAGAATTTAAGAAAATGAATATTTAACGTTCTAAAAAAAATATATTTTGTTAAAGTTAAGAAAAAATTTAAATAATTGGAAACATTTTTCTATACTTTTCAGCTAACTAAGAATGCATCTATCTATAAAATATAAGGAAATAAGCGAAGCCTTAATAAATGAAAGGCATGGCACAAATCTTGTATGATGACCAATTGTAAGTAAAATCATAACCTTTATACATACTGTTCCTATTGAAAACAATGTGGTGAATCTTCGGATCATGGTAACTTGGCGACCAACCCTGCTAGTTTTTTTCTTTTTTTGGATACCATTTTGTTTTCATGAAGTAAAGGCATGTTTTTTTTTTTTACTCAACATTTTTTGCAACAATCTGCTAGCCGAATTACGCTTATGCTAGAACTTTTATGGAACGAAAGTGCTTAATCATGACGAAGATTAAGTGCGAAATTGGGAGAAAGTGCAGAATCGCCCACTGCTTGCCACGTTTTTAAGAATTGCACATACACGGTATCCATGTACACATCGACCTATTTTCACAGTTAAAAAAAATCCCAGAATTGCACAAAAATGGCATTGCGCACACTCCTGACTTTATCCATGTACACATCGACCTATTTCACTTAAAAAGTCAAAGAAAATTGACAAAAATCCAATTCGATACTCTTCTGTTTTGAGAGCCGTAAAAAAATCAGCGAAAATGTATGCGCAAAAGCACCAAATCTAGCAAACGCACCCAATTAACAGCATGCCAAATCTAGCATACGCGCTGGTTTCAGATTGCGTAAGTTTATATAGTTCTATATTTCTTAAGATGCCATTGAAGTACTAGTTTGATTTTAAAATCCTTTTTTGATATCCTATGGATTTAACAATTTGGGAATTGCCCATGAGGAAAAGCCGGCAACAGAATTTTGGGTAAAGTACAGAATCACTCACTGCTTGACGCATTTTTAAGAATTGCACATACTCGGTATCTATGTGCACATCGACCTATTTTCACTTTAAAAAAATCCCAGAATTGCACAAAAATGGCACTGCACACCCCCTTGACTTTATCTATGTACACATCGACCTACTTTCATTTAAAAAGTAAAATAAAATTGACAAAAATCCAATTGTTTTTACCCTTGTAAAAAGCGGCAAACAAATAAGTGAGTGATTCTGCACTTCTGAATATTTTCAAAGAAAAGGCATCATTCATTATAGAAAATTATGCTTGAACAACCAACGAGATGAAATTATTCTTTAGCTATAAGTCGGTAGCGAAATAGCGATGCAGGCATCCATTCAGTTATGTTTAGCAATTTTTATATAAATTATAATAATGATCTGAAATAGTTATTTACTCTTACGCTTCCATTCAGTCATGTTTAGCCTTTTCCACATACATTATAATAAAAAAGTATTATATGAAATTAATCTTTCATCTAAATTAAAACATCAATCTTAGATAGTTATTTACTATTATACTTCCTTTCTTGCCACAATTATTTTTGGCAGCATTGGCATCAACAATAATTTGGCGAATTTTTACGGCCCTCGAAACCGAATAGTACCTCTAATTCTTCTTACTCTTGTAAAAAGCGCCAAACAAATAAGTGGCCAATTCTGTACTTTAGCAGCGAAATTGTTTCTAAGTACTTATTAGCTAAAATCACGATCGGAATTTTCCGGAAAATGTCTCATACACATGTTACATGTCTCATAATCTCTCATTTCTCCGAGACAAAATAATCTGTGATTCAAACTGTGTACTTCTCAGATTATTGCTAAAGTCCTAGCTAGTAACTTTCATTGCCTTACCAAAATGTCGCCAAACTACCTGTTACCATATTCCAAAGATTAGCCAAAACAATAATTATTAATCAAATCACATAACTAAAAATTAATCAATTTTTAATTAATAATCACATCAATCTTTTATTATTATTATCATATAAGATCTCCTCCATTTTGCACAATATATGTATAAAAGACATATAATTCAAGGAATAAGACTCATAATATCTAAGTAATACCTAAGTAAGCCTTGACATAATTAACTACGATTGTTTGTTAACATTCCACTTTCATATAAAAAAATGTGCCATCTTTTTAAAATTCTTTTTCGTTATTTAATGAGTCGAATTCATATAATAAAGGCTATTAAATCAATTAAGGTTACACTTAATGCAATCTAAATATTAAGCGAGAATAGCAAAATTCATGCACCATAAATATTTCAAGAGACTTACTTTCGCATGGAATGTGATGCCATGCTGAAAGGCTTCTTCGTTATATAACGGTATTCGACTATCATATGCATCATCATTGACTAAATTATACTGTTTCTTCGATGGCATTTCATGAATTTTAATGCAGTGCTCCTAGCTTAGAGAAGAATATAGGAATCGACATAGTTTAATAAAAATTAGGGAAATTAACTAAATCTTATACTATATAATTATGAACAAAGTATAAATCCTTGTCTGTAATGCTGTTTGCAAAACATTCTTTTTGTATAATTGATAGGATCCCAAAAGGACGGATAATGTCCTTAATTTCCATAAATTTCTGTAATATCCAATATTACATTACGCAAATCAATAATCTTAACATAATGAGATAACTGCAACAATTTGCAGAGCAAGAACAGCAACACGATGTTCCACAACATAATTTTATTAGGTTGATATGAAAACTGTCATTCAAGAAGACGGTTTTTAATACTTCAGTTTAAACATATGCCGATAAACTTTAAAAGCAATGTACTTTTAATCTACACTTGTTAATTAGATAAAGCAAACCAGCAAAAGTAACAGCGTTACAATTACTAACAGGAAAGGAGAAAACAGAAGTTTGATTTCTAGTTTATGGTCAACTAGGCGCCTTAACTATCATTTCACTTCAGATCACAGTGAGACATGTTTCTGCTAGTTTTGAAATCGGCGAATAGCTTGGATAGGTTAACAATAAGAAAGTTTCGCCAATTTCTATGATAACCCGAGAGGATTTCGGTTAGAATTGATACCCTCCTTCACTTATCATTCCGCGGAGCTTGTTTGCTTCCCCTGACTTCATTTTCCTTGCAAACCGATAGCCGAGCCGCCGTCTCCATATATTCTAACCTCAACTACCGTCTCGAAATGGTATACAGTCAAAAGTCGTTAATCCGGACTCGTCGGGACTTCGGCGATTCCGGATTATCGATTTTTCCGGATTATAGATCATCAGTTTAAATCTGGTAAGATGGCATACAAAAATTACAAAATTAAAAATATGAAACCGTAATTTATGAAATAAAGAACAATTATGATCTAAAGGGTATCAAAATTTACAAAAAGAAAAAGCTTAATATTTATTTGTTTACTTTATTAAAACATTTCCTTCAATGTAAGTTGCTTCGTTTCATGTGATAATACTTTCTCTTTAATTCTATTAAACAGACATAATTTCTCGTTTAGTTACAAAGTTCCGCTGTTCAAGTCCTATAATTGCTGTGTTGAGAATACCGACTAATTTGTCAATCGATATGTTTTCGTTTTCAATAACCTCTGGGTCACTTTCTTCACTATCGGAAGCGAATTATAATGACGAGGAACTTGATTTAAATCATATCAAAGACGGAGTACATCGAGACGAAATACTAAACTTAGTACGGAATTATAATCCAAATAAAATAAAAAATCTGCTCTGAAGATAAGGATAGTGTTGACAGATCAACTTCCAATCCGCGGCGTGAAATTCATAAACAGATTTCGGATTTCAAAACATACTTTCGCTTTGTAGATACAAATTACATATTAGTAAATATATATTGGAAATTCTATTTGACATAATCTTTCTAATCTATCATAATCTAATAATGACGTTTCTGCCCCCCACCTCTGCCGCAGAGCAGCGTGAAATGATAAACAGATTTCGGATTTCAAAACATTACTTTCGCTTTGTAGTAAATATATATCGGAAATTCTATTTGACATAATCGAAAGTTCAAGCTTACTTTTATAAAATTGCTCTAACAGTCTGCAAAAAATAATAAGCCGGATCCAATTCGAAGATTAAGGAACAACGTAATCTGCAAATAACGCGACTGAAATAGAGAATTAGATAACTTTTAGCTTTAGCGTTATAACCGTCGGTTATACATTAAACGCGCATGCGCACAAAACATATTCGCAGCCGTAAGGGTCTTACGCGCTCTCGTAAACGCCTGTGCGCATGCGTGAACGCGAAGCATGCGCAGAAAGTTTGTAGCTTTGAGGTCCGGATTATAGATCATTCCGGATTATGGGTGTCCGAATTAACGACTTTTGACTGTATCTTGTTAAGGTTTTCCATGTGAGATTTCCCCAAGCCAAAGAATTCTTTGCCCAAGCCGGGTTCACCTGAGGTTCTGGTAATGGTGGGATAAAATTCAGGCTGACACCAGCCTAAAGATCAGTATCGAAGTACCATCTCTAAACAGGGATGGTGGTGAACGGCTCCTTAGAAGCAAATTTTTTTTGAATGAACTGCACATGCGTCATTTATTTTTTGTCGCCAACAAGTTATAGTAAATCTACTGTACTTTCGCACCAGCGTTTCACATTTGTGTTTAATAATAATAAATTTCTTTTCAGAACTCTTCAGCCTTTTTCATTAATCCTTCTGCTGTAACATTTACACACATTTCTGTTCTGGTGAACGAGTTGATTATACATTAGTTTTGGGGGTTTCCCACATTTGTAAAGGAAATATGAGCCACTTTTCCTTAAAATCCTACACAAAGGTATCTCTCCTTAATGCAGCTAGCCCTAAAACGCTTTGCTGTGATCCAAATAATCCTAATCCTAATCCCTAAGAATATCCTCAGTAAAGATACCCCCTTCCTTCAGGTAGAACTTACATACTTTATCATGCTATATTTAACTAATAAACTTCTTCAGATGGAATATATTTTGTTATTCTTCGTATGTTTTTAAATTTAGAAAAACATTTTGCGTAATCTACATAAGCATTAAATCTATGAATGGAAAATAATCAAACGATTATAAAGAAAACCAAATAAATATGATTTTAATTATTAAACAATATTCTGGCGGATAAGGCAATTAAATTCTGGCAATTAAAAATTTCCTTTGTTAATATTTGAAAGCTTTCTAAAAATCAAACCACAATAAAATTTACGCAGAAAATTGTTAGTCTGCGATTACGCAGAAAATTGGTCTGCGATTAACTTAAAAGTCGCGGACCTTTAAGTTAATTCCATATGGTAAATCTTGCAAGGGCTATCTGGCTAGGCGAAAGGATGCCTTCATGAAGGATTTTCGAAGGTGAATCGGTTCCTATTCAGATTACACATGGGTAAAACTACGAAAACCAAATATGAAGCCAGCCTATTTGCCTGGGTCAGACCAAGGCCAGCTCTAGTTGGCCTTGGTCAGACGCCGAATGATCAGGAAATCAGTATCATAATAATAATTCATGACCTACTTTCAGAAAAATGTAGTCAATAATGAGTTGTATCACTAATCACTTGTTTGTACTCTTAGATGAAAGTGCTTCTATTCATCATCAGAATAAAATGCAACACTCTAAATCGGTCACATAAACAATAAAGTAGAATATTTTTTAAATTTTCCTGAAAGTATTGATTTTACTTGATTTCTTTTACTTTCAAGTTAAACTGCAAATTTTCAGTGTTTAAATATGGTTAAAATTATTTCAGAAATTCCTTTTAAAATTTTTTCCATTCAAATGAAATCTATTCTCTCACTGCTGTTATGTTTGTTAACAGTTATTTTTTCATTTTAGTGCAACAGACTTTATGATTACTTTATTCTCACGAATGCTGTTGCAATGTTCGAAATACAAGTCTTTGATACTGGGATGACTCAGAAACTGAACGTGATTGTCCATGGATAAAAATCTGAGTTTTTAATTCTTCCAGTTTTTCTTTTTCACACTGAACACAGTCAAAACACCAGGCCTCCCATTTTCTGCATTTAAAGCAGTTATCATATGGCAGTAAGTAAAGAATATTTTATACACATAAAGTGAAAAAGAAACTTTCTGTCATTTGGATTTTTCGTTATTTCTAGGCAAAGTGGCGTATAATACCCAAATGTAAGTAGCCGAATGATCATGTGAGGTTTAAAAAGAAAATACATTTTTCTCCTCGAGCATGCGCTTAACGTTATTCTGCGAAGAGTCGCTTGCAGCCATCCTTGTGCACAAAGTAGTTGCAGAAGCGTATGAATGCGGTAAGTTTCTCTTATAATTCTATAGCAATGTGAGTTTCATACTTTTAGTGTTAACATAAGAAAAAAATCCCAAAAAATTAAGGTCAAAATTCGATGCGAAGCTTTGTGAAAGCACTTTTTATACTCTAATTGTTGTGAAATTTTGGGCTTGAAGTTGAACTTCTTTTGTTTACCTTCTGTTATTTACCTCATTATATCATCGCTCACGAGATTGAAATGAGGCAAAAAAACTGGCTCCGGAAGGCGCCAATGCGTGTGAAGCAATTTTGTTTTTGTTAGTTTGTTGCACGCTGATAAAGTTATCTGACAGTGTAATCAATGTTGTACATGACGTAACATCAACATATTTAAACCGCCCAGCGGGTAATTGTTGCTCTTTTAAAATTCTTCATCATAATAAAAATGCAAGTATTTTTTTTTTTTTTTTTTTTCTCTTATCTCCGTCTCGCGCAAGATTCTTTGAGTATTTTACAGATTGAATGTGGTTTCTTAATTTAAGTTTCACGAGGGTTTTTTTGTCTTTTTGGAGGGGCTTTAAAAGCATGATGCTCTAGTGGTGATTCAGTGATTAATATATATTTAAAAATTATGTTGTTAGCAAATTGCATTATTTGCATTTACGCGTATATATGCAGTGATCCATCTTGAGGGAAACGTCTCTATAAGACGACCATACCTAAAAGCAACTATTATTTTTTGGATCATGAAAAAGCATGGGTATTGAAGGTGACACTTTGGTCTTCACTAAAGACCAAAATAATCTGGAGCTATGGGTGGTCGACCTGTAGAAGGTTCTTCCTTGTATATGTAAACACAGTTATTGATTATATTGGTATAATATGAATTTTTCTTCAGTATAGTTAATTTTGTTCTCATATTTAAGTCCTAGGTTCACATTTAAGTCCAAAGTGATCAGATAATCAATCATCAATGCTTAGTCTGATTATTATCATCAGCTGCCTGATTTCTGGCTTAACAGGTATTTGATTTTATTAATTTTTAGCGAAGTACTAAAAATATTTCTTGAAATATTCTAAATAAAGTAAGAAGTATATATATATATATATATATATATGCTATATAAATTCTTGTGTATGAATGAATGTTTAAATATGCATTCTTGTTTTGTAGCTAGAAATTCTCTTACTGTATCAGATAATGATTTAAAATTTGGAATTTATGAAAATGGCTCATTTAAAATTTCTTAAGGTATGAGGGTTACTTCAATAATCTATTTATTACTTATGTTATTCTTATTATGCTAGTTTTACACTTTAAATACAAAAATAGTGAATCACGATGTGTGGATATGATTTTTGTGAACTTTACAAATTGTGCATTGTTATTATTTTTTCTTGTTTTCCAGTGAGCCTGTATCAGAAAATATAACTGTTTGGTTCAGTTATACTGAAGGTAATAATCTTTACCCATTGCCTAATGATACTGTAATTGAAAAAGGGACAAAACCTACTCTAACTTTTGGTGTAAGTGCTAGAACAGCCGGTCATACTACTATTCTTGCTAAAGTTACCCCTCCTGTCGTAGTGTAAGTAATATATATAATTTTCTTAAATATTTTATTGTGGGATATTTCTATGAAGTGTAGATTAAGGTATATATATATAATTGAATTAATTGTAATCCACTAAATAAGCTATTCCAGGGGTCTCAAACTTGGTTGTAAGAAATGTATGCCAAATGCATGATCTGAAAGCAACTAATGGACTAAAGACAAAAGAAAGAACAAATATATATATGTGTGTGTGTGTATATATATGCATAAATACAAAATATAAAAATGCATAAATACAAAGTAAAAAATGCATATTTTGCATTACATATATATATATATAATGCAAAAAAAATTTTTTTACTAAAAAGGTTTATATTATTATACTATTCTGCAAAGTGATAAAAAATATTTTACTGGAAAATATTGATTAAGGAAAAATTAGCAAAAATATTTTTAACAATCAAAACAAAGCATTAGTTGAACTTTTCTTTAAAAGAACTTTATTATTTAAAATATTAAACAAGAATAATAAAGGAATTCCATCATTTTTCATCCTTCCTCATTATTTGGGCGAAAAAAATCAGATAAAATGACTATATACACAAGTTCTTTGTTTTTTTTTTTTTTTTTTTTTTTTTTTTTTTTTTTTTTTTTTTTTTTGTTTTTTTTTTTTTTTTTTTTTTTTTTTTTTTTTTTTTTTTTTTTTTTTTTTTTTTTTTTTTTTTTTTTTTTTTTTTTTTTTTTTTTTTTTTTTTTTTTTTTTTTAGATTTCTTTTTTTTTTTTTTTTTTTTTTTTTTTTTTTTGTTTTTTTTTTTTTTTTTTTGTTTTTTTTTTTTTTTTTTTTTTTTTTTTTTTTTTTTTTTTTTGTTTTTTTTGTTTTTTTTTTTTTTTTTTTTTTTTTTTCCTTTTTTTTTTTTTTTTTTTTTTGTTTTTTGAGAGTTTTATATATATATAAATTATAAAATTACTTTTTCCTAAATATCAGAATCTAGTATATTCTCTTAATAGTTAACAAAAAAAAAAAAAAAAAAAGAAAGAAATTATAGCTGACTTATTGCAACTTTACTTTATGACAACCACTGTTTTACAACTTTCCACTAATTTTGACATTTCATTTATTATCAACAAGATCAAAGTCGTTAATAGAAAATTCTAGATTTCAGTCTTTATAGACAGCAACAAATTTTCTAACCTCTATATTGTACCTGAATTTCATAAATCTCCAGTTAGATTCAGGTGTGTTGCTAATGTTACTAGAAATTACAAAAAAAGCTATTGACTACATTTTTGCTCTCAAGCTTAAAAAAAAAACTGTGCTGTTATTTTTGCATTAGTAAAAAGCACATTTATTATTGAATAATTAATAACAGCATTTCTATTCTTTCTGTACTTAAAAATTTTGAAGGAAAAGTGATTAACTGTTATAATTTTAAAAATTTGTACTTCTCTCTTCAATTAATAGAAATTTACAACAGTCTTTTATCTCTTTCTGTGCGTTTTTCTGAAATGCTATCAGTAATTACAGAAGTCTGTTGGAAAATTTTCCTTGATTGTGCACTGCTACATAACTACATTTAATTTAGAGAATGTATTTTTCAATACGTAACAGAATTTCAACAAAAATTGTAACCTTTACCCTTTTGTAAAGGAATTTCAATTCTATAAATCACTTAATCAAATTGATAAAAATTACATTACTAATACAGTCAAAAGTCGTTAATCCGGACACCCATAATCCGGAATGATCTATAATCTGGACCTCAAAGCTACAAACTTTCTGCGCATGCGTGTGCGAATGTGCATAATACGTTTACGCATGCATGTTTAATGTATAACGGATGGTATAAGCTAAGCTAAAATTATCTAATTATCTATTTCAGTTAATGTTGCAGATTGCGTTGTTCCTTAATCTTCTAATTGGATCCGGCTTAGGAACTACTCTGATATGCGCCCTCAAGTCGCCAAATTTCTCGCCAAATATTTTTGCGAGAAACTTCATGCCTGCCATATTCTATCTAAATTTTTTGTCTACATTTCGAACTTTAAGCCTAAAATGTCTCCAAAAACGCGTTTTTCGCAAATGCAAAACCATGTTTTGAACACACAATTTAAGCTAAAAATCCAAAACAAAACAAAAAATTTAGATAACAAAAACGTAAGATTTCTAACCAAAAATTTTGACAAGAATCCATGTACACAGCGATATGTATTAACTTAAAAAAACATCGAATTGAACATCTACCAATTACACAAGCTAGGCAGCGAAAGAATCTATGAACCACGAACACCTCGCTTTAATAATTAACAACAATAAATTTCAAACCATACCATGTACACAGCTTCCTGTTTAAATTTAAGAAAACATCTACGAATTGCACATTTTAGGCAGGAAGGAATCTATGATCTACTACGCACTCCTCGCTTTAAAAAAATAACGTAACAACAGTAAATTTCAAATAACCATTACACGGCGTTTTTTCAACTTTAAAAACTCTACGAATTGCGCAGTCTAGACAGTAACACAAAATAAACTAAAATAAACTTCAAACAATTAAAAAAAACAACAATAACGACAGAAATTCATACTAAAGAACATAACATTCTACAAAATAAGAACAAGGATAAATATAAATGCACTTACCATGAATTTATGCGTTTTCGAATAGCAGAAATATAAATTTCATACCACCTTTAACATGTGCCGCCACGTAATCACTAATCGTATTTACATGACAGCCAGACACACTATCCAGAAATTATACTGGTTTCACAAATAAATAAAATCACAAATCCCTACTTCTATCATGCACTGCCATTAAAATAATCTCCCAGACCCTCTTTCCACACTTCCAAATACCCACTACCCCTCAACAGGATAGCCACAATCATATTTCCTTTTGCCGAACTTCAGTTCAACAACTACCATTTTATCTTTCCATCCCATCTTCTCAGACACAGAGGCGAATCAACGAGCTCCAGCGAAAGATTTTTCAACGTCAACAGGGTTGCCATAGAACACGCAATCGTGCCAAAAACCAGTGCAGAACACATATCGCAACATTTGGTGGAATTAGGGCGTATATTAGAGTTGTACCTATTTCATTAACCTTTAAAAAAGCGAGCATTAATTAACTAATATAATCTCTATTCTTTTGTTACAAAATCATCATGTTTCCAACTTAAGAGTAAAGGAGGATGGTAACTAAAATTAGATATTTGTAAATACTGTAATTATTTCTTTTTTAAATGTATATTTTCTGTATAAATACTTCTGTACTGTTATTAACCAGGCATGATATTCATTTCATCAGACAAAATGAAGCCGAATTGGATGATCTTACTACTATTATTCGATTTCCGTAACTTTTGCCAGAATGTTCTTATTTAGCCATTTTGTGTGGCATCCCCAACTTCTTAATAGTGTTTTGACAATAACTTTTATTATTTATTTGTTGTACCACAATCTCAAAATGCTCTATTTCAGTATAAAACAGTCTCCTTATTTTATGGCAATTTTTTGGCCAACACATTATAGTAAACAACCTTGGCTTATATGCCTTATACATTATAAGTACAATATCAAGGATGCCATCCGTAACCTTAAGGTAATTTTTTTTTCACTTTTTAAATGATTTTCGACATTGATGGTAAACCTGTAGCATTATTGATGGTAAACCTCCCACGTTGATGGTAAACATTCAACATTGATGGTAAACCTCCCACATTCTGAGTAAGATGTTAAAAGAATTATTTTTGAGAGTTTTTAAGAGATGCTAAGAGTTATTTATTTAGTGTCATTTCTTTACAAATCACATGTTTTTGTGAGCACTGTTTTTCTCTATTTAGAAAATGAAATAAATCATTTAATATTTATATGCTTTCACTTTTAGTTGTTTTTAGGATTTATTCCACTACTAATACAACAATATCATATCGTACAAACAGATTTTTAATATAAAAAATTTAATTTTTAATATGTTTCAAATTTTTATTAATAAAAATACAAGTAAATATATTTAATTATTATATATTAAATAATGTTATATTTAAATTTGAATTTTTATTTTAGTAAATTTTATATTTTAACTTATAGCTTTATTTGGAAACACGGATATGTTTCATGTAATTTTGTATTTTTTAGCATTTTTATTAATTTTTATATTGTTTCATTTAAAAGAAAAGTGACTATGTAGAAGAGGCATTCAAAATTTTTGTGTGAACTATAGTAATTAAATCATTTTATGTAGTTCATTAGCTAATTTTAGATGAACAGAAACACTGTGGTTCTTGTGGGAAATCGGGTTCAGTTAAAGTCTGAGCTGCCTCCTCTTGACAATGTTGAATCAGTTTTTAATTGCATTCCCCTTTCTTTCTTTCTTTCTTTTTTCTTTCTTTTCTTTTCTTTCTTTCTTTCTTTTTTTTTTTTTTTATGTATTTCTGTCGTTTTCAAAATTTCTTCTAATTTAAAAATGCTGAATTTGGAAAAAAAAAAAAAAAAAAAAAAAAAAAAAAAAAAAAAAAACATAACTAACATGTTTTTTTTAAACAAAATTCAAATTGGCACTGATTTTAAATTTATTTTCTTTCATATCTTAAAAGTTAGTTCAAAATTGTAGCTTTTCTTTCTCTCTCTCTTTATATGTACAGTGGTACCTCTGAATAAGGGACATCCACCAGACCAGACATTTTGTTCCTTAAATAGAGGTGTCCCTTCTTCAAAAGATGCATACGTATAAATTCAGGTTGTATCAAGGTTTAAATAAATAATATATTAATCAATAAGATAATCACAAGCATTTATTTGAATTAGAAGGTAATGAAAAGTTTTAAAGATGTTAAATTATTTAAAAAATATATTAAAGGAACAATGAAGTTTTTTACATAAAAAAATTTGTTGAAAATTATCGGTTACGTGGATTTATTTGTAAGGCTATGCATCACAAGCAATTTTTTCCACATGGGTTTTAAAGTCATGTATTATTTTAAGTCCTTCACTGTCACTAACAGTCATCATGAACGTTTTTAGGTGGGAGGTATATCTTAAGGTAAGTTTATGTCACACTTTTTGTCTGGCAGTTCTGTATCTTCCTCACTGCTTTTCAAGCTATTTTTATTAAAGCTCACATTATCAACTATATTAATTTTATAGTTGAAATATTATGGTTGAAATAAAAGATTTTATATCGTCATTGATTTGATGTCTTCAGTACATAATTTTTTTATCAGTTTCCAATTATTCTTGCAGCACTGCCACAGATTCTAAGTTCAAAGAATTCATTTTTATTAGTAGTATATTTTCATTGTAGGCATTAAAAACTAAATTTCAATGCCAGCTTTCTTAAAACAATACTGAATATGATTTTGTGATACGGATTTAACATTTGTTATCCATTGTTGTTATTTATCTATTTGTTATTGATTGAATGATATTTAATACAGTGACACATTTTGCAAGCTGAACGTTGTTCCTGTAAGCAGCTTATCAAAGAAAATACTGTATTAACAGTTTTCTGTAATTAATCTTGGAATCTTCTAATTATACCTTGATTGAAAGCCTGTAATGCTCCTGTTGCATTATGTGGAAAAAACACTAATTTCACTGATATCAGTTTTACATATAGTGGGCAGGCAGGCAAATTGTTAAGAAATATCAGAATCTACCTATTTTTTCGACTCATTGTTTCGTCAAGAGCAGTCTGTCATTCTGACATTATGCTTTGCATTATCCATGATTCTTAAAATGATACCATTAGACAGATAAAGCTTTTGCATTTCTTTGTTTGAAGCATCTTTGTTTTTTGGACTTTCTGATTGCATATGGTTGCTAAATCTCTTGTTCTCTGTTATAACAAAGCAGCACAGTGAGACGTTTCATGGAGCTTTTATTTACCAGAGCACTTTTCTCCCAGCAAGGATAGAGTTTTATTAGGCAAAATTTGATAAAATAATCAAATTTCACCCGCACTGTAAATTTTTATAGTACTCTCTTATGCATTGTAGACCCTTCACAAATTTCATTTATCTTTTCTATCCCGACTGTTACATGTTATATATCTACTGATTTTTCTTCACTGCAAATAGTCTTGAAACTAATCTTATGTCTTTGCTTGAATTTGTCCAACAACCATTTGATGATTTGAAGTTCTGTTGTCCTTGACGTTCTGAAACTTCTTTTGCCTTTTCTTGTAATATCCACTTACAGGAATATTGTTTGTTCTTGCAGAATGAAACATTACTTTATCAAATTAACATGCTTCAGTTTTTCTAAATTTTACAGTCTTGGAATTTTCATTTGAATTTAATATATGATTTTTTTATTTCTTCTCTATCCTCTAGCATATGACTTACTTGGTTTTTGTTTATTCTAGATTTCTGCCCTAAATATCTCATATTAATTCAATTTCTGCTACTTGAATTACATTAACCTTTTATTTTAATTTCCTTTTTGAAGCCATGCTAAATAGTGTATATAAAAATAAGAGATAAGTACAAAATCACACTTCTTTTAATCTCCAGTTCTAGGAGGAACTAAGAATGACAGAAGTTTTCATTCTATCCACATTATGAGAGTTCTCTGCATTGGTTGATGGTCCAGTTATCTCACCACCTTTCTTTTCCCATTGGTCCTTGTCTTGGATTTCCTTACAACTTGCTAACACTGTTTTCTTCTTCTTACTGAGAAGTGTAGTGAGAATAACTGGATTCTGAATTCTATGAATGTAAAATATCATTTTGATTACACCACAGCTTGCTTTTTCCCAGTGTATTGCTTCTGTTTTCCTACTGAAAAACAGTTTTCAAAAGAGTGGGATTAACTTTTCATTTTAGTGTTCCCTTGTCACAAAACTTTCACTGATCACAAATGTGACTGAGCAGAATTGCTCCTTAAATAGAGGTGTTCCTTATTGGAGATACTATATATATATATACTTAAAGAAAGGAGAACAAACTAAAAAAGACCTTTGTAGTCAAGAACTTTCGCGCATTGAGCTGCAAAAATTAGAAAACAAAGTAAAAAGAATATTCTTAGTGCTTTCACAAAAAAGTGGCTTTGATACTGTGGTTCCGGTGAAAAAAATTAACGTAATTAAAATTAAGTAAAATAAAGTGCAATGAAAAGTATAAACATTAAATAAACAACATTATCACTAGAATATTTACAAATAAAATTCAGATCTAATTGTAAGTAATATGTTGATCAAGGTAAGGCAAACTTTAAACAATAGAATAAAAGTGTGACATAAGACTTAAGCAAAAATACAAAAACAAAAAAGTGGTAAGTGGTAAATTAGCCCAATTCGAATCTCATTGGCTCTTCAGGGGAAATTTATAATGATTTTCGAATCCCGCTAATTCCATATCGCATTTCGTTGAAATTGTACAGAAGCTCTTTTTGAGTATTAACTGAAAAAACTTAATCAAAAATTTTAGTCTCAATTCTGTGTTCCATTTCCCGATGTGTCCGCTTGAAAAAACACAGTAAGGTGTAAGATAAAACTGCACATAAGGGCCTGGTTAGGCAAATGTACAAAAATAAATAGCGATTTCCTATTAGTCAAAAATACAAGATTTTTAGGGAGGACCAGCTAGCTTATAGAGTTTAAACTTTGTGAACAAAGTTAAGAAGTTAAATTTAAAATTAAAATAAAAAGCAAAGAAGACAATTAAAAGAATACATATATATATATATACATATAGGCAAAAAAGTAAGAAATTTAGAACCAAAATAACAAAGATATGAAAGAAATGAAATATAAAAAGGGTACAATCCCTAAATCTCCCAATAGAAGTGTAAAAAGACCCTATCAACTCGGTGTATTTAAATCAGAAGAAACCCTCAAAACAGTAGAAATACATAAAAGTGCATAAAAAAGAAAGGAAACCTCCTTTTCTTTTTTATTATTATTTTTATGTTTTATTTATTTATTTAACTGTAGAGTGTATTTCTTGATTAACAGTGATTTTCTGCATGAACTTTTGATTTTAGTTGTTATGATTATATTTTTTCTTGTCTGTCTCAGGATTTAAAATAGGTTTGGAGGGTGGCAGTTTTTTTTTTTTTTTTTTTTTTTTTTTTTTTTTTTTTTTTTTTTTTTTAAATTTAAATCAGATTTTTTATATTTGAACTAAGTATTTTTTATTTGTTTATGTGTTCACTTATTAAATGATTATCAGACATTGATGGTTTTCATCAGTAATTAAACCTTTAACTAGGTATTACAAAGCATAACAAGTATTTTTACCCATAAATTAATGTAATAATTAATAATTAGTACAGCTTAGTAGCATAAGTACAATGAAATATTTTGGCAGCTTTTTAGCATTAGTGATGTACAATCCTTTTAATCACTTAAATATAAGCCTATGTATACATACGTACTTAACAAAAACACTCTTGTAGTTATATATCTTTTATATAAATACAAATAATAGAGTATGCAATCATAGGAATCGCATGTATACCTATTACAATCTACGTAACTTTTTCAAAACAGTTTATTACACAGTATTTTTATTATTGCTATTTACATTCAATGCATTAAATAAAGTGCTGAGTTTTGTACCCTCTCTTCAAACAATACCTCAATTTATTACGTATAATTTCAAAAAGTAGAAAACATTCTTTTAATCCCTGCTGATGATGATTTTCTTGAGATTAACATTTCAATGATAGCCAGTTCTTTTTCCTCTATGCATTCAAAAATATTTAAAAAATATTTCAAATAGTTTTAAACAGTTTAAAAAGTTTCTACTTTTTATATTCAGTAATTAAAAATTTCTTAAACTGCTGCAGATTATTTTAAGCTTTGATTTTAATATATTTTCTATCATTTAAAAAAAAAATTAAGAGGAATAGAAAAATATCTGATTTTAATTAAAGATTTTTTTTAAAAAGTCCACTGATTAAAATCATGATTTAAATCATTGACAACATGCTTAATACAGATAATTAATTTAATAACTTGTGCAGTACTAATTATAATTTTTATGCTGTATACATCTAGATCATTTAATCATATTTCATTCAACTCCGAATTTGCCGAGTAACATAAGGAGAAAATTCAAAGTCACAATTAAACCCAAGGCAGTTTAAAAGACATTAAAAAAAGAATAAGTCTTATTATAGCCAAGAGAAAAACTATTAACAATTTGCCTTTATTGGTAGCCAAGAGAAAAACTATTAACAATTTGCCTTTATTGTTAGCCAAGAGAAAAACTATTAACAATTTGCCTTTATTGTTAGCCAAGAGAAAAACTATTAACAATTTGCCTTTATTGTTAAGCAGTTTAATCTGGAGAATCATTTTGATTGGTTACATAAATTAAATCAGTATTGGGAACAAGAAGTGCATAGTATAAGTAATGGAAAAATAAACATCGTAAATATTGAAGAAACTTAATTATAAATTGCATTAAAAAACAATATTTACAAGAGATTTTGAACAATCTCATCGAATTAAAACTTGCATTAAAGCAATTGGAATGTATTGTTTTTATTTATTGTACAATGTTTATATATTTTGGATTACATACATTTAAATTATATATTATTATCATTAAAAATAACTTCATAATATATGACATTATCTGCTATTTACAGTGCTATTATTCCATGCATTTTTATTTTCATATTTTTTGTAGATAGTTTTGTTTTGCATTGGTGATCTGTGACAGTAAATTTTCCATCATTCTGCAATAAACAAAGTTTTAGCTTTTCTTTCTTTCTTTCTTTCTTTTTTTTTTTTCTTGATAAGCATTGTTAATCTACCTCTGATTAATCAAGAATTGATTATAGTTAATATTATTATTAACCTTTTTTTTCTGATCAATTAAAAATTATTTATTTTTTGTTAGTTTTGTAGAATTTAATACATAATTATTTATTTTTACTTTTCTAGAACAAAAGATGCATTTATAAGGGTGGGTGTTTTCAAAGTGTATGGATGGGTTGTATTTAGTTCAATCATTGGATGGCTGTACTTTATTTGTTGGTCTGTGTCATTCTATCCTCAGATAATTGAAAACTTTAGAAGAAAAAGGTTAGTAATTTTGTATTTATTGTTAACACATATTTTGCTAAAAATGTTTTTAACAGTCAAATTTGAATTTTAGTATATTGATAATTGGCAAAAACAGCTTACTGTTACCTTTGTTTCATTGTTGCTAAAAGAAGGCCATAATTTTGAAATTTTTGCTTAGCTGTTAAAATCAGTAGCCCTTGCATGCTTCACCTTAAATTGATCAGTTAGGTATGGAAAATCTATAACTGTGACTCAAACACTGTAAAGTGAAGGAATTAAAGTATATTTGTGGATAATGGATTTAAGGTTTGAAAAGGCTAACTAATAATGCCATGTGATGTGTAAAATTGATTGAAAGTACAGAGGGTGTTTACGCATTTTAAAAATGATTTTGGAGCCATTTAATTAATTCTTAAAGTGTAAAGAGTATTTTTTTAAATGTTTCTTTTCCCTAGACTATAAGTCTGCATTGTGAATTCCATGATAGAAGGGGTTTTCATAAAATTTGTAGGGGTATTGATTTCCATTCGTCTTCAATTATTTTCCTGAGTCTCTCAATCATGGGTCTGTGCTTAGAAAAAGCTGTTTTCAAGAGGCCAAAGGCACAGTATCCATAAGTGAAACATCAGAGGACTTCAGAAAATACATTGAAACTCATTTTTTCAAGAAATGTCGTGGTACTTTTCATATGACTTTATACTCTTTTACTATGATTTCTTGCTTTGTCTTGATGAAGTTTCACTTTTTGAAAGTCATTGGGATAAAGAAATGGAATTCCTTCTTTACATACCAGGCATAAAACTTTCATTTGCCAGTATATTGATTTTAACATTTTTTAACTTTGTTTCAATTACTTAATTTTTTAAACTTTTCCCCCCACTTTTCTTTTGATTTTGACATTTCCCCCCCTACTTTTCTTATTTTTAATTTTCCATTGATAGAGAATCCTGCGACAATTATGAACCCCTTATTAAACTTCATTTGCATTGATGGATCAGGTATGTACATGTTTTCTCTTCTTTTTCGATAATGAGTAGAACTTTTTCGTTTCAGTCATTCATTAAACCTATTCTTCATCAAGGGTCACAATGTATTTCCATTTATCTCCCATTAAAAAGTTTTCATAGAGGATTCTAAAATTGTTTTGAAATGCCTTGACAAAAGCTGGTGAACATTGTCTGTTTTTGGTTTTCCTAAGTTGTAAATCTTAGTTTGTTATTTTATTTATTGTTGCTACAAATGCATTTATAAAGGCTTTGCAATATATTTTAACATCAGCAGATTTTCTGGTATTGTCAATGATTTAACTTTAGAAAGATTACAAGCAGTATGTACCTTTCACTGGTATTTGTTTGGAGTTTTCTTACCATATAAAAGTAATGATTGAGGGTTTTTACCTTTTCAATTAATAATGTTATTTATTTTGCTCCTAGAAATTGTAATATCATGCATTCACAATGTTTTGCAATAAGAAATAGGAATATTTCTCTTTGGACAGCGCAAAAACATAGCTCTCAATCGTCAGCTTATTTACATGCGACATTTTGAAAGATGAATAAATTTAAAAGTAGCAGACAGTATTTCTTATTTCAAATAATAAGCTGTTGCTAGAAATTTGGATGCCAAAGCATTTGCTTTTTTTAAAATTCTTTATTGAATTCATTCTAAAAATGTGTAGAAACCTTCTTTATGTATCTAAGTTTAATTCATTTCTTGTATCTAAGTTTAATTCATTTCTAGATTCTTACATGCATAGAATCTTGTGTGTAACTTTCAAGGTTTCAGTTTTTTTATGCAAATAAGAACAAAATATACTTTCTTGAAATTATTTAATTTGCTGATATATTTCCATCAAATAAAAATTTTTTCTAAGTACTTGGAGAAATTTTTGTTTCTTATGTAGCTTCTATAACTGTTTTGAAGATGTGGGAAAGGCAAGATACAAAATAATAAAATAGGAATTTCACTTTATATTTTTCAATTTAATAAACCCATGTCAAATGTGAACTTGTGGAATACAATTTTCATGATTATCTCCATTTAATTTTCCCAGTGCGACAAATTCAGTTATGTGCAGTACACTGCAGAGTGTCAGCTGTTTTTCAGTAATCCTCCTGGTGTGAAAATTTAACATTACTTACAACAACAATATTTCAACTATAAAGTTCTTCAAATTCTTGATAATGTTCCAGGATATAGTACTGAAGCCCTCACAACTTTACATCCAAATATAGAGATTTTATTCTCTCCACCGAATACCACTTCCTTAATTTAGCTATTGGATCAAGGAATTATAAAAATATTCAAAGCTCTTATGTCAGATATATTTACATATATGCAAATAAAGCCCTAGATGAAGGAAAGCATGACACACTAATGACATTTTGGAAGCAATTCAACACAAGACACTGCATTATAATTATTAAACTCACAGGGGAACAACTGAATTCATCAATAATGAATGCTTGCTGGCATCAGTGCTGGGCAGAAGTTGTCAACAATGTTAAAGGATTTCTATCGACTGAAAATGAAGCCAAGACAATTTTACAGATTGCTTAAGTAATTGGCAGTGAAGGATTTTCAGATATGAAAGAAGGAAATATCAAAGAACTGATTGAAGAACTAATCTTCAAAGATCTACGAATCTACTAATCTAAATAATCTACGAATCGAAGTACTAATCTTGAAAGTTACATGCATGTTCCTTTGCATGTGACACTGATCATGAATCGACAAATGATGAATTGGGTGATCTTATAATGCCAGCCGATAGTGAAAGCAAGGCTCCAGTGTAGAAAAGAGTGTCCTTTGAACTGGACCGAAATACTGACACTATTGCTGGTTTTCTGATAACCCAGAATTGACTCTTTTAGTAGTGTTATGGGCAATCATTTTATCGTTATATGCTAAAGTTTTTCTTAAGTTTAATCTGATTGACACTTTTTTTGTTTAGGAAGAGCTATGTGATTTGTAGTACATGTATCACATATTCTAAATTGTATATTTTAAATTATTGGAATTTTAGTTGCTGTTAATTACCCTTTGTTTTTTGTTTGCTGGCTGGTTCTAATTAATTGTTGTCCCATCACATCCATGAAGAAGTGCATCTTAAATAAATACTCATTTTTTCTCATGATTTAAAGCAGGGTTTCTTAAACAGTGGGTTGCAACCTCCTTGGGGGGTCGCGGAACCTGTAGCAGGGGGTCACCAAAACTTTTAGCAGTTTTAATATTTCTTTATCTTATTATAATAATTTTACAATTACCAAATATTTTTACACAATGTATCTGAAAATAGATAAAGATATGACAATGCAGTCAAAGGAAAAACGAAAATGTTTTGACGCATTCTTTTTATAATATAAATGTTCATTTTCCTTCCTTTGCATGCAACACTGTCATTTCGTCTGTTACTTATTTAAAATTTTCACATTGTTCTATGTCTTAAAATTAGAAATTAAAGTTAATGACCTAAACCGGAATAGTATATTACAGTAAAAAGTGAAAAAATTGTCAATTTCACTTACGCATGTGTCAGATTTATGCAATACTTATCGGGTCCCATAAAATTTTTTTAAATATTATGGGGTCCTGGGGGTCATGAATAAAAATCTCAGTGATAAAAGGGGTTGCAACTGAAAAAAGTTTAAGAAACCCTGATTTAAAGCAAAAGGGTAAGAAAGTTATAACTGATTATTGGTGTATGAATGAATGTTAAATTAGTTCTCACTAATGTATAAAAGATTTATGTCTGGTCGAGCTTAGGATCAGTCAGATGGCTATGAGTGGGTTTGTTTTGAGAAAGATGTTGGAAACTGGCATTTATACCAACACCACTGAGGGCATGTGAAGTCACATTAAGCGTGAGTTTCGCAAGCGAAGTCTTCAGTAGTCATCGAATGACATTTTGTATTTCTGCTTTGTAAAGTTTATATGGCATCAGGAGAAGGAGGGTCAGTTTCGGGACTTTATGATGTGCATCATGTGTGGCATTCGATGCTGATGATGAGACAGCCAAGAACCGGGCATGAAAGTTTTCCGCATTTTCGCGGAATTCTGCTTTTTTGAACGTCACCTGGGCTGTTTCTGAGATCGATGCAGAACCGTTGAGAAATCGCGACCCGCAAATGTGTCTGTGTGGGGGGGGGTAAAGGGAGGACGAGCTCTCTCTGTCTTCTTCTTTTCTTTGTAAAAAAACTTTACATTATGCCATCGTATAATATTATGCCTGGTTAGCGATCAAACAAGGGCACCCCTTGTTGCAAACTTTTTTAGTTTGCCTGAGAAACCGCGAAATACGTTGTTTCACATCAAGGCGAAGTAGGTGGGGCTTATGTGGAAAGGCGGAACTAGATGCGTTCGAATATTGAATCAAAGAAGAGCAAGCAACCGTCAAACGAGAGCTGACTTCGATAATTTCAGCGATCGGTGCTGCCGCCATCTGTCGGACATACGGATAACCACTTGCATTCTCCAGTACACAAAACTCTATGTAAAAATTTAAGGAATGCTCATAAACTGTACAAAGAAGAGCTAGAGATAGAAAAGGAGGAGCGAGAATCTAAAAAAAAAAAAAGCAATTAAACATTGCACAAAATAAAGAAGAAAATAAAAAAGTGTGAATGGATTGTATAAAAGCTGCTGAAAACAAATTGAGACTAGCTCACAAACGGAAATTAGAAAAGTTGGCTGCAAAAGTAGCAAAATAGAAAAAGCTTTTTCCCTAAAAATTTTGAATCGAGTGAGACTGAGACAAAATAGTTATTTTTTGTATTCCTCCTTTAACTACAGTCAAAAGTCGTTAATTCGGACCCCAAAGCTACAAACTTTTTGCGCATGCGCGACGCATGAGGGGGGGCGGCGCACAATGAATTGGAAGTTGATCTGTCAGCACTATCCTTATCTTCAGGGCTGATGTTTCTATTTTATTTGGCTTATAATTCCGTACTAAATGTAGTATTTCATCTCAATGTACTCCGTCTTTGATATGATTTAAATCAAATTCCTCGTCATTATAATTCGCTTCCGATAGTGAAGAGGTTATTGAAAACGAAAAAATTTCGATTGACAAATTAGTCGGTATTCTCGACACAGCAATTATAGGACTTGAACAGCAGAACTTTGTAACTGAACAAGAAATTATGTCTGTTTATAGAATTAAAGAGAAAGTATTATCACATAAAACGAAGTAACTTAAACAACTTACATTGAAAGAAATGTTTGATAAAGCAAACAAATAAATATTAAGCTTTTTTTTTTTTTTTTTTTTTTTTTTTTTTTTTTTTTTTTTTTTTTGTAAATTTTGATACCCTTTAGATCATAATTGTTCTTTATTTCATAAATTATGGTTTCATATTTTTAATTTTATAATTTCTGCATGCCATCTTACCAGATTTAAACTGATGATCTATAATCTGGAAAAATCAATAATCCGGAATCGCCGAAGTCCCGACGAGTCCGGATTAACGACTTTTGACTGTATTAACATATTTTCTGGTGAAAGAATTATATCCTGACATTGTTTCATTTAATTCCGACTTTGCAAAGAACACTTTTGCAATTTTCTGTAAGGACAGTCGCATTTTTCATAGGCTAATAGCATGCTTTTCTTTGCAGTATTGCTGCAAGTTTGTTCACAAACGAAAGTTTATAGAGAATAAAAGTTAATATATGCAATATTCTAAAATTATGATGATCATTTCATGTTAATCTTTCCTATTTAATGAAACTTTGCCCTTCAACTGACGGCAGAAATAATCAATGTGTACCAGTTAGCACACACACAATTCAGTCTTACACCGAATTCTAGTGTCCTTTTTTTGAATATCTGTTGCAATTTTGAAGAACGATTACAAAACAATTATATTTTTAAAGGATGAGCTATAGCTCACAACAGGTAGATAGAAAAACTGTGATTGATAAAACTGTATAGTGTATAAAATGAATTAAATAATACATTTTATAAGGGGGAAAAATCAGATAATAATAATTACTTATAATAACTATGTATTTACTTTTTTTTTTTTTTTTAAGAGAGGCAATTTTTGTTTATTGGTTACTATTTAAATCGTGAACATTTTATAATTTGAGAGGATTGAACTAGCCAAGATCTAGTTTTATCCTATTGTTTTCAGGGGAAGGGTTATTTTTGCTGCCATTTTTTTTATTTATTTATTTCTGTGACTTTTTCAGGATTTTTCAGATTAATGGCAGCTTTGCTTAATAATTAAATTGCATTCGGAATAAGTGAAGTTTATTTCTATAGCTATTTACTCTTTTTACTCACATTTTTTTATTTTAATTTACATAGGGAAATAATCTAGTTATTGGTTAGTTTAAAAAGGTATTTCACATTCATAATATCTTCCAAGTTTTTAGGAAGTACTAAATGAAATATGATACATATTTCAAGGATGAGTGCCATTTGAATCCTGATGCCATAGAATCTATCCAAAACCTCTGATGCTCCCTGAAATTTTGTTTGGGAGGTATACATTCATCTCAAGTGCTTCCAAACCCTGATCACCTATTCTTTTAGTGCCATTTCTGAGAATATTTCCTGCTTATTAATATACTCTTAAGAATTTCTTGTCATTCCTTTGAAATTATTTGTTTCTGTGAAAACAGTTAAGTAGAGGAAAGTTGAGAGAATATTGTGATCAGAAAACTATTTTGTTTTTAGATTTCTGTGACAAAGCAAGAAACTGATCTTTTAATTTTTTATTGTGGCAAAATTTTGAATGACAAATGCTAAGATATTTTAATGAGAAGGGAAATCTAAAAATATATGAAGAAATTAAATGAAAACATCATGACAACATTGAATTAAAAATATGAAATGATTTTATTTTTCTGTTATGCATTTAAAGTAGGTTGTCATTAATGATATTGCTGTATATTCAAAATGCAGTTTTTCTGTGAATCATGGTCTTGATTTTCTTTCAATTTCAGATTCTGCAATACCAAAAGGAAATTTTGTGGGAAAATGTAAAAGTAATGCATAATATAAAATTCCTTAGATTTCATCGCAAGTAGTGACACCTTATGCAGTGCAATTACACTAATAGAAAATGTTTGTTTTGAGCTTTTTTAAGGAGCAGTTAAACTCAGTATTGCCACTAAAGAAACAAATGAAAAGATAAAAATGAATTGTTTGTAAAATGTAATCTTATTCATCTGTCTGAATTAATACAGATCCAGAGGAGAATTTTATTATTCTGTTTGTAAAATATAGTAAAATGCAAGTAAAACTTTTGATACCATATTTGTGTGTAGTAATTACAATATAAAATATGCATTGCTAGAATGAATTTCTTTTTTGTTTAGAAATCAAAGAATTAAAGATTTGTTTTCTTGAAGCAAAATGGGCCTTTTACTTCTATGTTTTAGCTACAGTATGATAACAGTTATAAATACAGCATATTTTTATTTGAAGGTAAAAAGTAACAGAATTGATGCTAGCTGATAAAAAATGAATTTCTGTATATTTTACACATATGGTATGTGTGAAAGATTTATTATATTCTCAGAAATGAAAATTTTTCTTAAATATTGATTTTCTTTCATGTTTCCTCACATAGCAGTAAGTAGATATTTAGATCAGTTCAACAGTATGTAGAAGAAATCATTTTTCATTCTAAAAATTAAAAACAATTCATTTGTATCAAAGTGTTAAAGAAAGGAGCAAATTTTTATCCTTTAATAAAGTAAACATTTTGCAAGTTAATATGTGGAAGAAATTAAGTATTAGATTGGATCATTTAATTATGGCAAAGTATGCTAGAGCTACCTGCTTCTCAGGAGAGATGTCTGTAGAAAACAGAAATCTAACCCTTAGATTCGCTATAGATGAGGAAAATCTCTCACTTTAACAGATTTAACTGCAAATGACAGAACTTAGAATAAACTACCAGTATTTTTGTAGTGTTTTATCATTTGGCCATTGGTAGATCCCAGAACGTATGAAGGATGAATCAGTATATAATACAGAAATATGTAAATGGGATTTCTCCTAGTTGAATAGTAATGCCCAAATTAAAAAATGTGAATATTTTTATAAAAAAAAAATACAGCCTTTTGGTCCAGTTTGTCATTTATAATTTTAGCAAATTATCAACATTTTGCAGATTTTCTTAAACTTTTTCTTTTAGTGTTGTTTAATTATTAGAAGTTAATCAAGTAACTTTATTAGTATAATTCACCTTTAAATACACAAGAAATCCATTAGATGGTTAATTGGAAATAATGATATTGTTACGAATTTTGCACATAGATAAATGATTTTACTGCAATATTATGTGAAATTGTTTTATTTCTTTCTGTATAATTTGACTTAAAAATCTAGAGAGATGATGCTCTGCCGGAAAAATAAGAATACAAGGAAAAGTGTATTTAAGATTGAGTAAATGGTTATCTCACTATATTGACGAGATATTGCTAAGTTGGCCATATTTTTGGTGATTAATATTTGGCGAGAAGTAGCCAAAAGTCATGAAACTTGCCAACCATTTGACCCCATTTTGGTCCACTCCCTCTATCATCATAATAAGTATTGTAATTGATTTCATATTACCAGTAACCATGTCCGGTCCTCATATGCCTTCCAGCAATTTTGAGAGGTACTAGAAATTTCTCAGTGTCTGGGAGGGGGGAACAAAGACAGCATCTGCTCTCAGTTGTTAGTTTAGAGTACCGATATATCTTTGGGTTAGCTTCACTCTTTAGATGCACTTTGCATTGTATTGTGTTTAACATTCTTAATAGTTTGAAGTGTAACTATTGATTCTACTCTGTGATGCTGTGAAGAGTTATACGACTATTTTTGCAGAAGGTTTCTGAACTCCAAAGTGCTTTTTTTGATAAAATTTATTTTATCAACCTATCATCGGACCTGTGTGCATTCAATCTATTAAGAACTCGTACGCATACAACAAAATTATTTTTCATAGGATATTATCTCTTTCAAATTATTTAGCTGTTATGAAATAGAAAACTCTGAAATTTTAGGATCATAAAGTACCCAAGAAAAAATAAATGACTTACAATCAACTATGGAATATAGCAACAGTAAATATATTGGATTTTTCATTCTGCGTAGTAATGTTATATCTTGTATATATGATTTTAAAACACAAAATTTTGTGAAATAGTATTGATAGTTCTTTATTTAAAGGCTTTACATGTTTCACTACTTGTGTTTTTGCTCAACTTAGAAGTTATTTTGTATTAGTGGCAATATTAATTTGGTGTGTATTCAGTGTTTTTGTCATAAACTAAACTAGTTTTAGCTATTTGTTTTGGATGATCTCTTTCTTGCACATATTTTTAAAATTTGAGGTGGAAGTTTATTTATTTATGTTAGAAATTTTCTATGCTGTGTTTAATTTTTGACCATATGTAATAATGGGTTCTTAAATTACTTTTTTTTTCAGTGTTGTAGGTTTGAATTTTGATTTTTTGGGCTTGAATTTGACTGGGTTCATTGCTTATTCTGTGTTCAATTTGGGCTTACGATATGTTCGAGAAGTTCAAGTAAGTTCCTTTTCAGGTATTTTATTGTGTTAAATATATTATATTGCCACTAGTAATTAAATGTTTCTTTTCTTTTGCAGTTAGAATACCACAGTATTAATCCTACTGGTATTATTCCTGTAGAAGTGAATGATGTTGTGTTTGCAGTCCATGCTGTATTTGCGACAGCTGTAACTATAGGCCAGTGCTTTATTTATGAGGTAAAATAAATTCTTTTAAACTTCTATGTTTTAGACTTCTATATCTTTTAAATTTCTTTATTCTAGTTTTGTAATAGTAATGTTTTAAACAGTATAGGATGTTTTCTCTCTCCTTACCATGTTTCTTCATAGTGTAATTGGAAAGCATGTCTGGCTGGTAGTTGGAAGGGCCCGAGTTCAAATACCAGGAAGGGAATTATAGTTTTTATATCTCCTGCTTCAAAATCAGGACAAAAAAAGGGCCAATAGCCTCTACAGTGACTCCCAAATTAAAAAGGTGGTGGAAGATAATTTGTTACCACCAATATTTGGCGATTTGGTCCCCAGTCGACTGGGAAAAACTGAGTCATCCTTTAAGTGAGGGAGAATGTTAGATATTTTCTTCCTTCTTACATTCCTTCATTGCTGTAATTGGGAAGCATGTCTGTCTGGCAATTGCAATGCTGCGAGTTTAAATCCAGCCCAGGGCATTATACTTTTTCGTGTCTTCTGCTCCAAAATAATGATATGTGCTGATGAATTAAAGCAGTGATGGACAAATTTCATTGTTAGTGGACCAAAAAAAAAAAAAAAATGAAAGAAAAAAGTTTAAAATACAATTTATTTTAAAATTTAGGCATATGCAAATATTAATGTGATTAATTAAACTGCAACTGCATTTTAAAAATTTCCTTAAATTTGAGTTCGAAGTGCAAAGTGCTAATTCTGAGAAGTGATGCTAGATGCTCATCTGTCAATCTATTTTTAATGCAATTCTTCCCAAGGTTCACAATAGAAAACACTTTTTCACCTATATAGGATAAGCAAGTGCAGCACATTTTCTGGGTGTGAAATTTGGGAAACTTGCTTTTGATAACTGTTTGAAAATAAGTTTGGAATACTGAGAAACAACTGCTTGGATGATTGTTAGATTGTAACTCAGTTAATTCAAATTGCAATTCAGCCTCACTGTTTCACAATTTATGTTGTAAGGATGCTGAAAATACCCATTTCTGTTTAAATTTCATTGAAATCTGCATTCAAACTAAAAATGCAGTTTTCTCAGGCCATATTCATTAACCTTGTTTTCATTTAATGAGGATATTGAATTTAACTTAACAAGTAATTCTTAGCTAGCTGCCCAGCAAACAAAACAGGTTTTGGTTTAAAACCTTTGAGATGGGCCCAGATCAAAGAACGTCTATGTAAAGAAGGAAAGGTTCTATAGATGTAATGTAAACTAAAAGCGGAGGGAAAATTTGCCAAGAGACTTGGTGACGGAACCTGATGGCGAGAAATTCCCCTTCTGCGATGTGTACAGGAAATCGAGGAACACATGTTAAGAAGAAACGTTCTTTGACAAAATGTTTCTTCTTTGAATTTTCACGATAATTTAAACTCTGGATTTTTGTACTTGTTTTTGCCCAAAATAACTAATCCATTAATTAATTTACTTGCGCGAAAAAATATTTAACTTTCCTCTAAAGTTTTACTCTTTTCTTGCAAAGGAAAAAGCATAAATGTTACCTTTGAACTTTGATGCTAGCTTCGAGCTTTGGCGACAGATATTTGGCGCATGCGCAGCTGTTTCCTTCTGCATTGAGGGGAAGCCACCCCTGTTGCGAGAAGTTTTCCTTCTTAACAATACATATTCTTTGCCTAGATATCATTGATAAATAGATTTTTGTGCTTACATCTTGACATTTAAGCTATTCATGAAAGTTCATATAAGTTTTTTGTAGTTTTTCTATGAAAAATGCAAAATCTGAAAATCATGTTGTTTCTTCCAACATTTCACACTCCACAGAACATTGTTACTCATGGAAGAATGACACAGTGTCTTCCTTCAGCTGCCAGACTCACCTGAAAACACATCCTGCTGTAAGCAACCTTATTTTCACCTAATACAGCACATCAGAATACTTAAATTGCATGGACTGAAAAAAAATCTTGGAATTGCATGCAAGTCCACAACGTAAAATAGTATTGGTAAGCATCAAATAGTATGTCAAGCAATGGTTTCATATTCAGTGCAGATTTATACAGGGCATATTGGTGATTACATCAATGATTTGTATCAGTGCTTCCATCCATAGCTATGGAGCAGAATTTGAAATGGCCAGTCTTTGACTCTAATTGTGATACCAGATTGTTTTTTATGGCTTTAATTCTAGAAGTTGTCATTTCTTTTAGATAAGCTTACATTCTCAAAATCCTTTTTCTTCTGGATACAAAACATCACAATGTGTAATAAACTTCCCACCACTGAAAGCTTTATTACTTTCAGCAGTATTGTGTGCTACAGTGTGACTTGCATATGTAGCTGCTTCCTGGATACTGTTTACTTTCTTAAAACAAATTTGCTTACCTGTGTTCTCCTAGAATGGGAGAACAACTTAGACCCAGTGGGCTTAAACTCACATTGCATGCTGGCCAGCAGCACAGTCTGAAAGCATTTGATGGACTGAAATTGTTTTTAACAATATGAAAAGATTTTGTTTTTATATTATGAAAATGTAATTTTTTTTTTTTTTAGTCCAAAGGGGCTTTGTCCCTGAGGTACTATTGTTTCTTATGCTTTTTATATCAGCCCTAATTACAAATAATAATTTGCAAGTGTCTGGCCATTAGGTAAAAATAAATAAATTAGTTACAAATAGTAATAAAATAGAACACTTACTCCCAAAGAATTTTTCTTACAGCCATCCCAAAGAATTTTTTTTACAGCCAACATATCATTAACAGTGCTAAAAATCAGTAATTATATTAAACTGAGTCACTTCATAAAGTTGGTTTTAGATTTATTGACTGAAAAATGAAAAGCAGAAAAGAGTAGCTAATTATGTTTCTGGGGAGTATAATTGATGGGCCACTTTCATGGCATAAGTGTATCTTTTTTATATTTTCTTTGTTTGCAGAAAATTTTTGAGCTCCATATTCAAGTTGTATTTCTAAAGAATTATAGTGTTCTACATCATTAGTTTCTGTAACTTTTAACACTAAGTATTGTCAAACTCTACAGTCAAAATACCATAATGGCTGAAATTGAAGGAAGTACGATAATTTCCTCTCCACTTCCCATTAACCTAAAAAAGAGTTTTGAGATTTTTGTCACTAGTTTTTTACAATGAAACCCCCTGTTCACTCCCAAGGGTACTGAGGAAATAATTCACATTTGTCAAATGATAGTCAAAGAAGCAGTGATGTCTGCAGGAAGCTCCTAAAATTGGATATAATTATCAGCTACAGATTTGTATCCTTTATGGTGAGCACAGATAGAAGGTATCCAATCTAGTATTGCCAGGAGGCTGTTAGTTATTAGAATAATAATTAATGAGATATAAAAGGATTAAAAATTGTTCACTCCAAGTGTTTCTAAAGTTCTTGCAAAGGAAAAAGCATATTCAGTAAGAAAAATAACACACATACAAAAAAAAAAAAAAAAAAAAAAAAAAAAAAACACCTCTTTGTCAGCTTTTTTTTTAGTTAATGTTTGAGGAAAGAAAAAAGATTTGTTAAGTAAGGGAGGTGAAAGTGCACCTCTTGAATGTCCGTGGGTGGTTATCCTGGTCTCACTTCTTGATGGAATGGGCTGGTTGCATCACATGAATTATGATTCTCTTCATATGTGACAGATATAAGCCAGTTTATGTGAGGGAGTTCTTCATAATTGTATTCTGTCCCAAGATTAATAAAGAGTGCTCTTGCTTGTTGTAGAGACATTAGGTTATTTTAAAAGCAGGAGCGATGAAAAATGAACAACGCCTTTGCCGGGACTCTAACGACAGACCTCTGGGATACCTATCCAGTGTGCTGACCCCTGCACTACAAAGGCATGCTAAGAAGGCGGGAAAAATGCTTATACTGTATCAAAAGTATTTTATTTGAATATTTTTTATATCTTAGGTATCATTCACCATAAAAACAAACAGTTGAGTAAAAGTTATAAAATTATTTTATGTAACAAATACAAATTTAATTATGAACATAGAAAGAAGAACGTTTCCCAGTTATTGATACAAACGCAAAATATTTTAATCAAAAGTACCATATATTTTTACTTATCTCATAAGTATATATTTGTGCGGAATATCTTTGTAATTAGCATATATGTGTTATTTCAGAGAGGGAATCAACTCATATCAAAAACAACTGTTGCTGTGCTTGCTCTTGTTTGGTCCACTGCTGCTGTATTCTTACTACTTACGGCTTTGGAAGTTAACAAGCACACACCATGGCTTTCATTCCTTTATTTCTTTTCATATGTTAAACTTGGTGTTACTTTAACAAAGTATATACCTCAGGTAATATATGTTTTGTTCTATAGCAAAGCAACATTTGTGTATAATTAAAGTCATCAATATGATAGGTTTAATAGTAAAATTTAGGCACTTTTATTAATTTTTGCTTATGAGTCATAAACTAAACATTTTTCAGAGCTGATCTTTTTATAGAAAATTAAAGTAGATAAAATTTTCTACAAAATGCATGTATTAAGTTTAAAGTTCAGGCAATCTGCAGTGCCACCAAAATGTCTATTTTTGGCTGTCCATGAAATCACGAAAGATACCCTTCTAACTCTGTGATGGTACCCTAATATCAACGTCATATGCCTGAAACTAATTATTTCATGAATGCTTGTTATGGTCAGGGGTTTCCAAAGTGTGCCATGTGGCGCCTTGGGATGCTGGTAAGAGTAAACAGAACCGCGAGGCGCTCCTTTTTACTTTTTCAGGGAATCTAAATTCAAATCACTTGTGCTGCATAAATTGCTCACTGCATAGAAAACCACTGCCACTCTCCTCCCATGTACGAAATTTGGTTTGGGTTTGGCAACACCGAATTCGTAGCTGGCCGATGTGAGTGATTTTCAGAAGCCTGCATTCTACCATCACGTCGTATCGACAGGAGTTCTTGCGAGTGCTCATTGGTGATACTGTATAAGCCGCCGTAGGCCACATTGCCAAGTTAGTTTATTGTAAGTATAAGCAGTTAAATAGAAGTAGTAATAAAATGTTCTTGGTAAGTGACACAGAGGGTTGTAATTTTTGAACCCAGGACAGATAAATGTTATAATATCTATTTAAACATATGTATGTGAGCAGTTCAGTTGCTTTGTTTTAATTGTGCTGTTTTGTATTTTCGTCACCAAATGTTTTGTATTTAGTCACCAAATGAAAAGATTTTTATTAAATAAGGAAGTCGATAGTTTAAAACAGAGTGATCAAGCCTCGACAAGTGGCTGGGGAGCAAAAAGGCAGGAATATCACAAATACAATGATAGTTATTTGGACTTTGGTTTATTTCAGTAGAAGTAAATAATGAAGAAAGACCGCATTCAGTTTGTCAAATATATCACATAAGTATGTCAGTTTTAGTATAAAAAGTCTGGTTCGGCTAAGTACAGGGTGGTTATAATTAAAGTTCCACTTTAAAATGGTTGTGGTTTTCACAGACGGATTTCTCCGTTATACGATGGCGCACTCGACTTTTATCTCCTTTAAATGAGTTTTGTTTAGGTCAATGTTTCTTAAGGGTATACAACATGTTAAACCCATGTAAAAAAAGGTTAAGTTAGATTCCAACCCTTATTTCATTTAACAATATTGCATACAGTGCCATTTCTCCCCCTGGTGGTAAGATTTTCCATTCCATTTACCTCTGTTATACTGGACCTACCCTGTATGAATTTGCAGGCTTTTTGCCAGTTGTCATCAAATATGGGATCCTGGAAGTATATAAATCATTATAGGTGTCAAGAAGACAAGATGTGAACTAATCAAGGGAGAGGTGGCACTTTGCCACTTTTACATCGTGGGGTGGTGACCATTTTAGAGCGGAACTTTAATTATAACCACCCTGTACTTAGCCGAACCAGACTTTTTACTAAAACTGGCATATTTGACAAACTGAATGCGTTTAATCTGTCTCAACAGAGCAATAAAATGCACATCTTAAAACTATTGGAGAAGATTGTGGTGCTTAGAAGAAAACTGCAGTTATGGATAAGAAAAATTAATGAGGATGGTGGTCAAGAATTTTCCTCAAATTGTATAAATACACATCCTCTAATCAGCTTATTATATCTCAAAAATTGCTGTCTCTTTTCATGGAACACCTTTCAAAGCTCAATGAATGGTATGCAAAATACTTTGTGGAAGAAAATATCAAGAAATATTCATGGATCCAAAATCCTTTCCATGCTCAAACTCCACCAGCATTCACTTCACAAGAAGAAGAGAGTCTCATTCAACTCTCTTGTGACAACAGCCTTAAAACAGAATTTGCTTGTTTCTTTTGGTGGAGTTTTGAATAATCATCAAAAATGAATATCCAACTCTTAAGTTCAAAAGTTTTAAGGATTCACATTTCTTTTGTAAGATCATATTTATGTGAAACCGGATTTTCAAGTATAGCTGTAATAAAGAGCAAATATCATTCAAAAATCAACGTGGAGCAAGAAATAAGAATGGCAGTGTCAAGTCTTGTGCCTCACTTTTTTTTTTTTTTTCTTTTGTTATTTGAAAAATTTTGCAGAGATCAGCAAGCTCACATATCCCATTCATTTTCCCCTCTTTTTCTTTAATAATAATAATAATATACTATTCTTGTGTATCAGTTCAATATATACTGTTGTATTATTTTCTTCCTTCACGTTCGTACGGGGTTCGTAGATTTGGAGTGTATAACGACGACACTTGATGAGGTAGCAAAACTCACTTTATTGGCCAGTATTATCCAAGACAGCTCCAATAACACATTTACACAGTCGTTGAAGAACTACTATAAACACGCTGACATAATCAACGACACACCCTTCACACTATCAGGCTATAACGGTCGAGACAGCTTCACTGCAAAGCACCAGAATACAACTCCTGACTCTGCTCGGTCGTTCTCGGAACTCCACGTACTCTTGAGACTCTCCACACTACAACTCGTGATGCACCCGACAATACACTAGAGTACGGCTCCTGACTCTTCAGTTCAGTGGTTCCCGGAGCTCAACACACTCTCTCGACGATGCACTAACAGCGATACACTAAGACTCTTTCAGTGCACTCGATGACGGACTGTCAACTTGATCGACTCTACGTGGACTGACTAGACAAGACACTAATTAACTCGATGCTAACTCTCCGTGTACCAGCAGGGTTTATATAGTTTTTGGCTTGTGTTCGAGAACATTCTGGGCTAAACCGGTAAGAATTCATTCCAGAAGGTTATCTATCCATCCATGGCATATTGCCAATTTTGTCGCCAAATGTTGCAACTCTGTCTTCTCTTATCATTTTATAGCAACCGTAAACCTGCATTGCTGGGAAGCTACCTACTGCGCCTTGACGTTTCATAATAATACCTATATGAGCCTCAAATTCTGGTTGTTTTCTTTTTTGTGTTTTGTCACTAGTATCAATATTTAGTCATATTTAATGAAGTGTTGTGATTTGCTATGACACTATGTAATAAGCAGGTTGTTGAGCAGAAACCTTGTACAACACTTTGTTAAACACGACTAGGGCGCCACGACAAAATCTAAGTGTGCCATCAACTGAAAAAGTTGGGAACCCCTGGCCTAGGTCATATTAACAGAATTAACAAATGTCAGTGAGGTACATGATCGGTGGAGTGATGAGAAATTTCGCTGTTAATCTCTTTGCTACACTTGCAAATACTAAATGAAACTTAAATGTTTTGAGTGAAATAATGGTACAGTAGACTAATTTTGTACTGTAAATTGTTGACCATCAGTGAGATGCCATGTCAGTGGGTATTTATTGGCTTATATGTTTGTACCGTGCTACAGGCTACAGTTGTTATGTAGAGTAAATAGGGAAGTACTCATGGAGGAAAATATGTCTAAATGAAATTTCATATACCAAAGTATATTTCATACCAAAGTAACTAAAGGTTTTTGGTTGATATAAATACTTTATTTACAACTTTAAATTTGTATAAAGTGGTCATCTTCAAAAAGTGCTTAGTTTTCGAGTTGTAGGTGAAAAACCGAAGAAAAGCTCCAGAATTTTGAGGTTTTTTTCGTTTTTAAGCTGGCCTGTGGTTAGGTGGCAAATCTAAAATTCGAATTCAGGACCCCAAAATCAAATAGAATTGGTATAAAAAAAAAAAAACTTCTATACTGTTCTCCCAAAATTTTCTTTTTGAATCTTCAATGATTGAACTATAATTAATAACCTGAATTAATAAAATATTTTTTAAAATGTTGTAAATGCTGATTAATATATAAATATGCTGATTATGAATATTTTATTATTGGAATTGTCTTTTATGGAAACTAGCTAGTACCTAACAATTATCTTTCATAAGTGTTTTAGTTTTGTTTCTTTCTTGAAGAACGTACTAAATTAAAATTAAGATGGTATAAAATAAGGGTTTATAATTACAGTAAAATTCTGGTTATTTGAGTAGCTTGTTCTGCTTAGGTTAAGCAAAAACTAAGCTTATTTATTTATTAATGTGTTAAAAATTTTCTGGTGATCGAAGCAATATAAAAAATGTATCGTAAAGTAAATTTAAAGGATTACATGATTCAACTATTTAAAAATGCATTTTATAAAAAAGAAGAAGATATCTTTGATTTTTTTAAAGGAATTTACAAAATTAATAGCAAGTACATGAATTAAAATGTATACAGATGATCCTAATTAAAGTTGGTCTTCTCAGAGTTAATTTATTTTATAATCTGTAAGTACCAGAATTTGTACATATGCTATATTTAAAAGACAAAGAAGTAATTGAGACTAAAATTTATATGTATATGCTATTCAAAGAATATAAAAAGAGATTCGACAGGAGGGAATAAAAAAATGTGTACTTGGGATCATTTTAAGCAAAATATAGGAAATGAAACTTCTGAAATAATTGAAGCAAATCCAAAAATCATTTTAAATCTTCATTTTAGCATTTATAAAAATTATAAATGAAATCAAGGAAAAAATATCATTTTGAACACTGTATGTGAATAAAGCAAAGTTTGCCTAAACAAAAGGATAACAACCTATTAATATAAAAACAGGTCTATGACAGTTTTGATTAGTCATGATGGATGTTGCTTTGAAGTTTTAGAGAGAAAACTTCAACAGTGCTGTGACTGCCGTTTGTGAATACCACTGAATTAAGAAATTACGCTTAGCCCCAGTGTCTCCATAAACTGCCAAAAATGATTATATGCCTTGATTAGAGAGGAAAATTTGGAATTCAGTATATTAGTTGGCATAAACCAATCAGTGCCTGAATTGTTGAAGATAGTGATGATTGCTTTTGAGCAGTCACGAGCAAATTA